TTAATTCCCCATGTTAAGATTCAGATACTAATCAATTAAATTAAATGACAGAGACATGGATTCTATCAACTAAATCTACATGCCGGATTTACACATGAAAACTTATAAGCTTTCATAAAGGTGTATCATCAATCTCTAAACTGAGACATGGAGTCTATCAACTAACTATTACTTCGCCAATGTACATTATTATTGCCCAATTTACCTGGCATATTGACCCACAAAAAAATCTCGCCTTTTAATAAATCAAAACAATAATGATTATACATAGCTAATAATAATTATATCAAGATTAAGAGTATAAGTGCATTTAATGGCTAGAGAGTTTATTTTATTAAGTCAGTATAAAATACTTATCTCTACTTGGTCCGTTCAATGCATACAAAATGTACTAGCACAAGAAGATGGAATTAAACTATCCCCATAATCAAGATAAATTATATTTTGAACTTGTGCTACAATCATTCCTGATGGTTTGTCCAATTCCATCATTAGATTGTGAACTCAAACTTTATACTTATAAGAACCAATGATTTAATCTTCCGTGTATAAGCTAAACTCTATACACTAAATCATCTACTAATATAAGCAAATGACACAGCCTAATATATAGTTTATTTTAAACTTTTTTAAAACTGAATAAACAATTATCTGATAATAAATATTATATCTAAACCAAACCAATGCTTAATAGTATATATCCAACACTAATTTCTTTAAAGACTTCACAAACTGTTTTGTACGACATGATATTGAAGCGACAAGATACTCCTCTCGGCCAAAAACAATTACTACTTCAAGTTATCTTTTACAATATAGCTTTAGCCATTACTAATTTGCTTAGCATTGTTAACATTGTTGTTTTCATCTTATGCTCTCGATATTCATCATATTTGTGTTGGTTCCATTTCTCTCACCAGCGAGACCTGCCTAAATTAATGCTGTTGGATATATTGAGTTAACTGCGTTTCTGTAGCCTTTTCTTTCTTTCTTTCTTTTTTGTCAAATATATTGCATTAATTATATCAATTTTCGTGTTAAGAGTTTGATTAGAAAGCGTGGCTTGTTCCATATTTTAATTACCATTGCATTATCTTTTTTTATTAGGAGCACTTTCTTTTTCCAGGCATCTCCCTTTTAAGTAACAATTCTTTTTTCCTTCCAAAGTTCATAACCATCTCCTATATATATATATATAGATGCCTTATTTTTGCATTGTTTCTCAGTTTTAGGAGTACTAGGAGAAAGTTTATTAATCCTCCTTTTGTCATTTTCAATGGGGAAAGAAGTAACAACACATTGACAAAATTGTCTAATTTTCAAGAAAAACCAACATCTTCTATATATTCTGGCGAAATTTAGCAAAACGAACACACCCTTTTTTTTTTTTGATACAACACTTGATGTAACTGACGAAGTTCATATACATTTGTTAGAGAGACTTTTATTTTTGGGCACTACACAAAAGAAAAACAGGTAGAAAAAACAAAGTCTCTTAATTAATTAGTAGTAGCAGTTCCTGTTATGATGCTGATCCTTCATAAAAACGCAAGAACTCTTCATAACTGTAAGGATACCAAATCCATTCCATAATCTTATCATCTTTCTCCTCCTCAAAATCCCAATTATAACCTCTCCATAATTCTTCCCCTGATCTTTCTGGAGAATTAGTTTCCATCCATTTCTCAAACTCCACTAATTGAGGAATTACTGGACTAATATAATTATTCTCCTCCAACACCATTGAAATGTTGCTCCCACCTGATAATGATGTGTTTTCGTAAGTTTCTGTCTCTTCTTGATCAGGCCAGAAGTCAGAAAACAAAGCGTTAAAATCTATACAAGTTTTTTCAAAACTTTCCACTTCGCTGGTTTCTATTATCAGTCCCAGCTCTTCGTAATCTTTCACATCTAAAGGCATTATTTCCTCAGTATTTGCATTTTCCATCACTTCATTTTGCAGCATTTTCTTCACTTCTGCTTTTCTTTTGATAATCTTCACCTCACCACCTTCGTAAAGAGACCCCATTAAAAAAAATGGGGACAGAAAGATTAGAAGTGAAAAGAAGAAAATTAAAGAGAAGATTTTCTGCTGTTCGATGAGTGCAACTGAGTGGGGAAAAGTACTGGAATATATACTGAGGGTTGCAAAGCTAAGGTTTTTGGATTATATGCGTGCATGCATGAGTCAGCACATAATCGGACACAAACCTCTCACTCTTTTTTCTTCCTCAAAATTGTCTTGAATTTTGGATACTTGAGAAGGCATTTGCTTTTTCTTTTTCATGCAAAAATTAAAAGGGAGATAAGAGAGAACTAAATTTCGAGTCGTACCTCTTTGATAATCTGATTACATTTATTGAGAACTAAATCTCGAGTCGTATTTCTTTGATAATTAATCTGATTACATGTATTATTAAAATGAAAAATTTCACGGTATAGCCAGTTTTCGGACTGGTCAATCAAAAATAGCCAGCGTTTACCAAGTCAATGAAAAATAGCCATCATTTTACTGCAATAGAGACCGGTCCAGCATAATATACTGGAGTTCGGTGCACTTGTGTATGAACTCCAGCATATTATACTGGACCGGTATACTTTGCTGGCTCCGGTATAATATACTGGAGACTGGAGCACTAGTGCTCCAAACTCCAGTATATTATACTGGACCGTTATACTTGCTGGAACTCCAGTATATTATGCTGGAGCTCTAGTGTACTTATGCTGGAACTCCATCATATTATGCTGGAGTTCCAACATACTATCCTGGAACTCCAGTATAATATGCTGGAGTTCAAGTATACTTATGCGGGAACTCCAGCAGAATATACTGGAGTATTTTCCGGGTTTTGAACAGTGTTTTCGATCAGATTTATCTTTACATAAAAAGTGGCTAAATTTCGATTACTTTTGAAATTGGGCTATTTTTGAACGACCAGTTGTAAATCTGGCTATTTTTAAAAATCTTTCTACTAGAAGTGATTGAAGATTGTTGGGCTTAAACGGCCCAATGGCACTCTTAACATGGTGCGATATTGTCCGCTTTGGGCCAAGCCCGCACGGTTTTCCCCAAATGGCCTCACACCATTAAGAGATGCCTACACTTTATATGTAGACTCTCAATCTTTTCAACTACCAATGTGGGACTTTGTTCGCACACCCAATAAAGATAGACGGAGACGAATCTGGCTAACTCTTGTCCGTTACGAGAATAAATGATATACTATATTAAATTTAATGAAGCTTGTCTAAAATAATAAAAGTAATTAGGTAGTTTAGAAAAGGTCATCATGACATCATATAAGGTTATATAAAATAATACAATAATGCACTACAATGTAGAGAGATTATTACATGATCAATGTACTTTTAAGTAACATGTTACATATTGTATTTTTCAAGTTACTAACTGCACTTATTATATACGATTTACTTATAACTATTTTATAATTAGTGATCTACTGATGTAATAAAAGTTTGCACCACTAGTGCGTGAAAGTTAAACTCTTATCTTACTAATTAGTATTACTCCATTTGTTTCAAAAAGATTCTCACTATTTTCATATTAGTCTGTTTTAAAAATATTACTAACACTTTTCAATATTTCCTTAATAAGAAGCACATGTAGCCATACAAACGCTATGACAGGTTTCAGACCATAAGTTTCAAAAGTTTTACAGCCAAATAAATGATAAAGCTTATTTAAGATTATATATCTCAAAAATCTTCTCTTATTTATTAAAGTTTGTGTCAAGTCAAACCATGATTGATCTTATTAAAACGAAGGAAGTAGTTTAAATAGTTTGAGAAAGAAATCAATTCAAAAATTTTGGAAATGAACCAAAAGAGAGGGCTAAAAAAGTCATTTACTGGAACGGGAAATAGCACATAGCATTTAAACCTGTAATCCCCAACAGGGGAAAGGTAGAAGTCTCCAAAAAAACACCGACCACTTTTTGGGCACATGGATGAATTTTACAATGTGAAAGCCTGCTTCTTGTTTTTGGTGTTTTGTGAGTTTTAGAGTTTATATAAGGTTTTGCATGGGAGCTAAGCACTCGTACTACACAAGTGGCAGTGAGTGTCTAAAATACTTTTTAGGTGTCAGTTTGTTTCAGATTTTTCTAGAGATCTGTTAGTGACCTCGGTTTGTTTCTTTTTGGGAATGAATTGAATGAACTAGTAGTTCAGTTTTGGTGATTCTGTAATTGTAATGGCATGGCGTCAGTCTTTTGATTTTTCTAGTACTCTACTGAAACAGTACGAGGAGATAGTGTGATAATTCGAGGAAGAAATGTGGCAGTCTTTGGTTTATATAGTGCCATTGAAAATTTAGATTGAATACAGTGGTTAAACTTTGCATCCAATTAATATTATAGCGTTATATAATTGCTGTATTAATTATGATCCTCAGTGCCACTACTGGTACAAGTTCTACGATGCCTTAACTAGTCTCAATTATTCTGGATGCTCTATACTGTTTCACCCTTCCGGTGGCAGAGGCAGGATTTCCACCAAGGGGTTCAAAAAAAATTAAAAAGTTAAAAGAGATTGTGACTAGTGTAAATTAAATCAATAATCTCACAAAGGTTTTGAACCTACTTGACCATTAAGCTATGCTTTTGGAAGTTCAAAACATAATATATAAAGGTAAAAAATAAATTTTGCTTTATATATACAGTATAATTTTTCGGCGAAGGGAGTTCGAATGAACCCCTTCCCCCCCTCCCCCCTAAATCCGCCCTGCTTGCTTCTCTGACTACACTGAAGAACTCTTCAAAAAGGACGATAGGTTTCTGTCTTGGAAGGTTCGATAAAGCTTTAAAAAAAATAAGAGCGGACTATATGGGCTTAAGTTAAGTTGCAATTGGTGTATTGTGTTAGACAAACTTCCATATATATATATATATATATATATATAAACAACACATGTACTAGCAACATATGGACTAGATCATCCAAATGAAAGAAAAATATTATAACATATGAAGAGGATCATATAACTAAGATACCATATATAAAGGACCACCAAACGGAATATATCTCCTCACAATATAAACATACAGATCCACCATATATACAATATTACATATTTTCAAGAAAATTACTCCTGGACACTTACATATATACAGTCAACGAACAAAATTTATCACCTACCACCTTACATCAAAATTGCTAGAAAGAGACATCCTTGCATAATATACAAGAAAAATTCAAACTTGCCTCTATTGCTAATTACAGTCCAAAATTTCTGTCTTCTTTTTTCTAGTCAAAATTTTCTTTTTTATCTTTTTCTTTTGGATAGGTTGTTATAGTAAAAATTTCATATTCAGCCGTTAAAATTCCTCATAAAGGAAGGTTCAAACCATAGCAGTCAAGCGAGAGTTTTGGCAATCAAAGCCTTCAACTGTATTTGTTGCTTGAGTAGCCTTAAGTCTTGTCCTTGCGCAGGACATTCCTTTACAACTCGATGATGGAGAAGGTGAAGCTGAAGTAGATGGACTTGGTAATGATGATAAAGTACATGTTAATTGCTTTCCATATTTTGCAAAGTACACATCATGAATTATTGGATTCATCGCTCGGCTAGGGGGTGACCCCGTGAAGAATGGAGGGGACGATGACAAGAGCGATGCTGATCGCATTGCAGCTACGCCATCCTGTTAGACCATATAGGAACATGGATGATTCATTTTAGAGTTTCCATTTGAATTAATTAAGTAATTAACAGAAGACACATTTGAAACAGTGTTACAGCTACCAACAAAACAGCAGCAGGTTAAGTGTACAAAGGCCAAAAAAGGTATGTGGGACAGTTGGTAAGTAAAAAAGATGATCTATACATTCAAAGAGTATTCTGGTAGTGCACATTTAGTACTCTGATAAAGTTTGATATCAGGAGGACAGTTAAAAACATTTAAGGCAATGAGATTTACTGTGTTGAATGCCTATTGAGGACACAAGCCGTGGAGGTTTGTGGCCATATATCATGTGATTTACTCATCAGTTATTCCTACATTTCCATTTTCCAATAATTGCCATGACAAGCAAACAACTCGATAGAAATGGTAACTAACCTGCGATAAAACGTTAAAATACACTGATCGTGTAAAAGATCTATATACTACTATCATGTTTAAACTTAAGTTATCAAAGGGACTTGGCAGAAAGCACTGCAGGCAGTTCGCAACACGGTATTGTTGTTGTGAATGTACGATCGCATCGTCCTAAAGTTTGAAATAAACAACAATTGGCAGATGAATATGTTGATTTTCACAGTGACAAACTACTTATAGTTGCAACTATATCCTGCATAACAGGGACTCTCCATTCTTCTACCTTACCCTTTTTTTTTTTTGGTTTCCCACCCGGTGTCCGGTACCCACATTGGAGTCCGACTATATCCGGATTCCCGCCGCGTAAGGCCCCATTCGGGGGGAAGCACTCTCTACCAAGGATTTTTCCACACCCAGGGCTCGAACCCGAGACCTCTGGTTAAGGGAAGAGCAGTCCCATCCACTGCACCACATCCTTTGGTGGTTTCTACCTTACCCTCTGCCATGGAAAGCCTTTAAGAAAAAACTAATTCAAATTTATACTACAAGATTTATCATGTATAAATTGCCTTAAATCTGAAAATGCACACATAATTTCGTGGGAAAATGTTTAGTGAAATAATAAGAATATCATGCAATCCTTGAAAAATTAGGTCAATTTTTCATGACAAGTAATGTGAATTTTTTTTTTTTTGGCAGTAATTATAAGCCGGGTGATCATCCCATAAAGAGTAACAGAAAGAAACGAAAGCAACAAACAAAGAGCTTCAAATCCATAGAGATTAAATTGCAATGTGCTCAGGCCAGAAATATATAGAAAGTCCCCTACCTCTTTTAGGATGATATCAAAAAGTTCTATTCCAGCTTTTGAATCCAAGGTTTCAGCTTGATTACTGTTAATCCTCCATTAAAAAACCCGAAATTAATTACAGAATTAAGGGTAACCAATTAAAAATATGGACAAAGAGAAAGAGATCAAATCACCTCAATTTGGAATGACAATTTGGATGCCGTACTCGACGAGGTTTGGGACAAACAACTTGAATCATAGGATTAATGCCACAATTCATCGTTAGAAATTAATCGGCCCAGAAAACTTCAATCGGCGGCAAGGGAAAAGCAACGGTCCATGGCTCTTGAAGGTGTGGTGTTGGGAAAGTAAAAGGTAATTAACAAAAACTAATTTAGTATAGTAATTAAATTTGGCAAACCCAGCTTTCCGAGGAATAAGCTTCTCGTACGGGAAATACACGTTTTTGGGGGGAAAAATTGTTCTTCATTGATTAATAAATATAATTCTAGGAATCAATATTACATTAAACATCAATTTTTTTATAAGTAATACTAGATAATTTAAAAATATCTTTAAGGGGCCTGATTTTTAACTTTTTCTTTTCTTTTTTAGTTTTCTCATTGATATTTGATAATGCGTCCTGACAATGGATGTTAAATTATTACATTCTAATATTTGATATTTAGATTTAAACTATGTAAGAAGAATGAAACCTATTGTGGAATTATGGAATATATCATTACATTCCTCTTTATGTGAATCTTGTGTTAATTTTTGGTAAAATCCAATTACAATTTTACTGAAAATATGTTAGAGTAGGGAATAGGAGCTGTATTGCTCATACGTGCAATACTTGTCACCCTGCTTCTATTTTCTCGTAGGCTGTCAAAATATTAACACGTAAAATAACTCAAACGAACTGTAAATAACATGTACAAATGGAACCAATGAATTAAGGGGTCGTTTAGGAGGACGTATTACGGAAAATAATATAAGTATTAATTTTGATATTATTAATTCTTTATTTGGAATTCCTTTCGTTCTAATTTATGTAAACCCGTTTGACTAGGCACGGAGTTTAAGAAAAAATGAAGACTTTTGGAATTTGTTGTCCTAAAGAAGTCAAAAAGGGGTCTAGAGTATTTGTGTAGTTATTAAAGCTTCTCATTAAGGATAGAATTGTAAATTTAAGTTAAATTATTACCAAATTTAGAAAGGGATCATTCTTTTTGGAACGGACCAAAAAGGAAATAGGTTCACATAAACTGGAACAAAGGGAGTAGTATTTTTCAACATATACTATTGTTATACATAGCAAATCATAGCATTAGCAATACCATTGTTTTTAATACATGGATAAACATGTATAAAGATTGAATTACCTTTCAAAACCTTTTCCAAATTCTTTCTAACGCATGTGGAGGGTATTTTTGTAAAGAAATAATTTCTAAAAAGAGTTAGGCAATATATATTATTTTTAATATACCAAACCAAACAATCGAGAACTAATTTCAACATTATAAATACACATTATCCAGTACTATTCTTGATAGTCTAAGATTTTTGGGCGATTTTGGTTGAAGAAGGTGTGTTTTCCTATTTTAGACCAATACATGTTTGTACTTGACTCCCTATTCCGAAATTGGTCAAACACACGAGAGTCGTGACGCGCATACTTCATTCTTGAGATTATGCCAAACCATTACTTAAATACTATGATCCTTTATTCAAAGGGACATAATCAACCTAAGATACGACCACTCACTTTCAATTTTCTCAATTTGTTTAACTAATTAAAATGGGCATTAAAATAAACCAGAAAAAAATAACATCTTATCCCACACCGTACCACTGAAATTTGGTCGTCAAAGTTGCATATCCCCATACTTCTCTTTTTCTTCTGAATTTTCCACCTTCTAGAAATGTATATTAATATGATACGTTATGTTGAATTGACTAATGACTACGATATTGCAATATAGTCGTGAAACCATGAAAGCTTTATAAAGGCACTCAAATTCTATGCGTATTAATTTTCGTTCCCTATTTTTTTTCAATTAAATTCTGCCTAGAGTTTAATTCTTTGGCGTGAGAAAGCTCTGCAATGGGAAATCAGAAGAAATTTCCAGGCATAAGTGAGGTATTGCAGAATATATTGGATGCAGATATGGACAACGTGGATGCCAGACGTCGTGCTAGGGAGGCATTTAAAGATATTCAGCTTTCAATTGATCATATCTTGTTCAAGGTATTTCAACCATCTTGGATTGTCATTCTTAATATAAAATAGGCGTTTAACTTCAAAGTTTGGATTTTTATTGCGTAAAACTTACGGATTTTCATATTATCTTTGATGGTTTTTGTCAATGGTGCAAACTGCAAATTAAAAGGACTGAAGTATTTGCGTGTGACCAAATAAATTAAATGGTTCTTGCTAAATTGACCGCAAACATTATTTAATGTTCTACCTTTCGGGGTGCATTTGGCATGGACGTTTTTAACCGGAAATATTTTACCCGGTGTTTACTTGTAAAATGGTACAGTTGAATTTATAGCGTGATTTATAGGCGAATCGATTTAACTCAAAAATAGTAAATAAATAAGAACAAAAGTAAGATTGTCAAATGAAAGTAAAGAAGAGTACAAGCTTGACCAAGAACTTAGCATTTCCGATGGCCAGAGTGAGCAATGTTGAAGAACTAAAATTGAGCGTAATATGAAAGTAGATTATAGCTTTTTGTGTGCAGAGGATTTCCTCCCCTACCATGGATGCCAATTCTCCTATTTATAGTTTTATTTAGGGAGACAAGATCCCCAAATCAATCTCCTCTTGAATGAGAATAAAACTGTCATTGATGGTTGCATAACGGTTGAACATAAATGTCGATATTCTCTATAACTGTTGCTCATTGAATGTTATCCGATATCAAATCTTTGAGTCTTTACTGTCGGCTACTTTGCCTTCAGGATTCACCCAGCACCGGTCACGTACTTGTATCTGGTGCCAGTTATTTGTTGACTCACGTCTCACCTGTCTGTAGTTCCACGTGTCATTCCGTCATTCACCCAGTTGTTACTAACTAATTTTACCTCATACACCCCGAAAACTATTTCTTGAATCATTTTCCAGTGTTTTTTATTTTATTTTTTATTTTCAGAGTTTGATTGGATATATAATTTGGTTATATATGGTAACTTTGCAAGATGCAGTATAAGGTATGAGAATAGTGTGTTGGCCATGATCTTGAGTAGTAAAGGTTGGCAGAAAAAACAGTAAATAGAAGTAAGTGACATTGATTAGGATTTAGGATCTTTGTAAAGGAAAATTAATAAGTGAGTGAAGTCATTTGCGGTCTTTTAATGGAAAATATTGCGAGAAAATATTCTCCAGAATTTAAGATAACTAAACATTAGGGAAAGAGGAAAATGTTTTCAGCCATATTGAACATACCGCCTTATAAAATCTGCTGGCGGATTTAATGACAGTGCAGTTGGGATGCTGATAACAGTATCCATTGCATTTGTGGATTTGCTTATTCTGCCGGGAGTTATTGCTAGTAGATCATCTCGAATCTCGATGGAGAGATTCAAGAGGTTTTCTATCAAGTGTGAATTTTTGGACCACTGTTAACAGTTCAAGGGCATATCAAGATTGAGCATTCCCTTTTCTAAATCAAGGCCAAAAACAATTTATGGCTTTAAGAAACTTAAAATACTGTTAATAAAATTGCCTTTTTCCAACTTACATCAGACGGATAGCTATTAATCAAGTCAATCCTCATTTGGTTAATAAAAAGATGAAAAGACATTTGTCAATTGTATAATCTCGTAAAGGAAGCATTTATCTGGTTAAAACTGTTTTATGTACGTCATCTTTGCAAATGTACTTTCCACCGTAAGCTTGTTATGTCATCTTCATTAAGATTGTTACTTTTGGAAACGTTGACAATGAGATTTGTATACATATTTTGGAAACATTGACAGTTGAGACTGGTGTACTTATTTACCTTTGTCGTCTACTGTAATGGAGAAAAGTGCCCAAATGGGCGTGGTTCTATGTGAAAGTAACGCGTTTCTTACTCATCTTTCATGTTCTTTTAATGATTGCTTCTTCTACCTTTGCACCAGGTGCCACGTGCTGGATTGAAGATGGAGGAGGTAAAGCTTCCGCTCTTATTTCCTTTTTCTAATGTTGTTGGAAAGGTTTGATGCTTTGTAGCCTAATTTTCCTTGCTAAAACAGTCAATTTATGTATCATTAGCTTGTTGTTTACTTTGTAATACAGAAAGTTATGGATATGGTCTTCTTTCTACTTTTCCTTTTCAAATGAGAGATGACGTTTATAGCTCGTAAAAATAAATAAATAAATAAATAAGAGATGGCGCTAATGTGTGATTTGTATCGGTTCTGCAGTTTTAGTAAATGATATTTGCTTCACTTCTTATTTGGGAATTGAAATTTAGCATAGGAATGATTGGACGGCATAAGAAGAATTAAATTGGGATTTAGTTTCCATTTCACATCCACTTTTAACTGTCAACCTTAAATTTAGATTATAGGACAATTTCAAATACTCATTGGGAGGAGATATGCTTGGTTCATAAGATTATAAGCTCCAAATTTTATTACATACTATCGATAATGTAAACGTTGTTATAAATCATATTCATTCAATTTCTTGCAAGTGAAAAAGGGGATAGTTTGTGAAAGATGACTTGGCCTCGCAAGGATGCTTTGGGTATTAGCGTTTTTGCCCTTGCTTGTATTAAGGCAAAACAAGAAGTCTCTTTTTTTAGCGTATATATTCATATCTAGCATAAGTTATTGGAATTTAGATGTTATAGCATAATATTGATGTGATTTTAATAGTATGAATCTTCGAGATTCTGCTGGACAGTCTTATGAGGTTAATTCCGGAGGGCTGGAAATCTTCTCCAAAAGTTGGCTTCCGGAGACACGTCCCAAAGCTGTTGTCTACTTTTGTCATGGTTATGGGGATACATGCACATTTTTAGTTGAAGGTTTGTGGCTTGCAAAAGCATTTGAAGTCTCAGACAAGTTATCTTTTTTTATTAAAAAACAACAATTGTAATCACTCTCCTTATCTGTTAGGTATAGCAAGGAAATTAGCATCTTTTGGTTATGGAGTAGTCGCGATGGATTACCCTGGATTTGGTCTTTCAGAAGGTCTTCATGGCTATATCCCAAGTTTTGACAAGCTGGTCGATGATGTTATTGAGCATTATTCGAAAGTTAAAGGTATGACTCAATTGGATAACCAACTTCATCATCATCATTTAATGGAGTTCATCTGAGAGGTTCAAGAAACAAATAGTATGTAGAAATTGAAATTCAGAAGATCTTACATGTGAAGGTGTGACCAATGCGAGCTTAAGTTTCATTTCCTTGACACTATACTGGAGAAATGACAGTTACTGTTGGTTGCAGAAAAGCTAGAGTTGCATGATCTACCAAGCTTCCTATTTGGGGAATCCATGGGTGGAGCTATAGCTTTGAAAGTTCACCAGAAGCAGCCTAATGCTTGGAATGGTGCTGTTCTTGTGGCACCTATGTGCAAAGTATATTTCTGGAAATGTGTCTAAATTCTTACTGATGCTTCTGATATCTGATTTACATAGAGAGATAACAGGTTTGTCATATAGATTGCAGATAACATGGTTCCGCCATGGTTAGTAACACAAATTTTAATTGGCGTCGCAAAGTTCCTCCCAACACAGAAGCTAGTTCCGACGCAGGATTTGGGAGAATTGGCAGTCAGAGATGCAAAGAAGAAAGAACTGGTACATATTTCTTTGTTTTCTGTAGCAAATCAGCTTCGAAAGATGATAGGTTTTAGGAGTTCAGGAAAGTGAGGGGTACAGGATATTAGAGGCTAATAGCCTGTTTGGCAAAGCTGCAAAAATCAGCTTATTTTGAGAAGTGTTTTTTCTCAAAAGTGCTTTTTTCAAAAGTACTTTTTGTGAGAAGCAGTTTGTGGTTGACTAATTAATTTGAAAAGCACTTCTGAGCAGCAATTAGTATTTGGCCAAGCTTTTAAAAACGGTGTATTTTTCTCAAAAGTGCTTTTCAAAAAAGTACTTTTGGAGAGAAGCTACTTTCTACTTCTCCAAAACTGCTTCTATTTCTCGTCAAAAACACTTTTTTTTCTTCCAAAAGCTTGTCTAAACACTTCAACTTTGAAAAAAAAGCACTTTTTTTAGAGAAGAGTACTTCTAAAATTGGAGAAGCTTGGCCAAACAGGCTATAATAGTGCTCGTGCCAGAAATATCACCATTACCTATCTCAATTGCATTACTGATGTTGAATAGCTTCTATTAGGAATATCTTCATTTATTTAACTTCATAATGACATGTGCGCGCGCGCGCACACATCTGCTTGACCATGTATGTACCATGCCCAATTTCTCATATAAGATGCACTTCTGTATGCAGACTGCCTATAATATCATCTCTTACAAACATAAACCCCGTCTACGGACCGCCCTGGAGTTACTGAATGCCACCCAAGAGATAGAGAGTCTACTGGAAAAGGTGTGTCACTTCTTCCGGTTTTTATTTTATGTAGTGTAAAAACTCATCACCAGATTAACTGTTTAAAGGTTGATTTGTGAAGCTTTTCCATTTGCAGTATAGCAGTTGCTCCATGGTCAGAATTTATTGTCCTGTTTTTGTATTTAATGAGGTTCTAATTGTTTCTTGATATTATATAAACTGTTTTTTTTACTTTATAGTTCATTCTAGCTGGTGTATCGTGTTTACTGTTGTTATTTTGGAAACACTTGTACTTATTTATCTTGGAAAATAGTTACAGAACTATCCATAATTGTGATTAAGTTGCAAAGTTTCCTTTCTGCAAAAGAGCAGTACTTTGAATGAGAAGGGATGGGCGATAAGCGCAAGAGTGTACTGACTGGAATATTAATTTATGCTAATTCTTTCAAAAAAGGGTGTCACATACCTCATTTTTACTCCTTCTGTGCACTTTATCTTTGTGATGCTTTCCTTAGCTTTTCCTGCTTTGAGATATTCACTCTCAGTGGCAGAAAACCAATACTGTTTGGAACTTCACTTCTAGAGCTGCATCTCCCAGAATCAAAACCTTCTTGTTCTAAAGGCATGGCCCTCTCGCATCTTATTCTGCTACTGTAGAGGAAGTCTGTCGTGAATCTCGGTATAACTTTGTTACCTTAGCCTGGAAAACAGCCTAGGAAGCTAGGCCTCCTTCTATCCCGATATTGAGCCAAGCCTGGCACCCTGGATCCACAAAAATCTTCCCTCTATCACTTTGAGGACTGATTAACATAGGAAGCAAGAACTTGATAGAATTGGTTCTTTCCTGCTTTATCAAATAAAATTGGTTCTTTCCTGAAGCAAATCTTTTCCCTGCTGATTTAAACTCTGATACGAGAGCTGTTATGCGATGAAACTTTACCCAAGGTGAAAAACATATTCCATTGAAAAGTTGTGCAATCAATAATGCTATCTGGGAGTGAATGTGGAGTCTCCGGTGATTGTCATAGAAGTGCAAATGTTAAGATAAATATGTGACCATATTAAATTGGACAGATCAGAAATAATCACATGTGAAATGGGTGCGAGTAACATATGGAGAGAAGGTTGCATAGAGGCGAGCGCCAAAACGCTAGCACAAACTGCTCCCACAGACACGCATGATAAGGGGGTGTGGGGACAACCAGGCCACCACTTTTACCAGATATGGGTCCGGACGACCCAAGAGCCCGCCACTAGAACCCCCTAAACCAAAGAGCGGGGCTAAGCGAGGGGCATAGCGATACAGTGTTCATACTCGATCAGCCTGCTTTGCAAGCAAATATATAGCCCCAGGAGCATGCATATACTGGCTTACCAACCCCACAGCATAGGTAATGTCAGGTCTAGTGATAGTAAGATATCTAAGTTTTCCCACAAGCCTCTGATGCCGGCCCTACTATGTATTCAAATTAGAGTACCCTTTTTTCCACTTCCGGAGGATGGAGGGGGTATACAGCGAAAAAAGCGTCGAAGGGGTCGGATCACCCTGGGTTACTGAAGAGTCATCCGACTTCTCGGTGACCTCTGTCCCACGCATCTAACCAGCTCGCGTGGTTCACCGGTTCCACCGTGGCTGGGGTCCGATCTGCGCATACATCACTAAAGAATATAAGAATCCACATATATGGGGGAACACGTCAAAGGCCCATGTTATGGAAGTAGCAGAGGCTTATGAGGGAAAGAAAAAAACAGGGGGTGCTCCGCTTTAGAAAAGATAGAATATTTTCCGACTCCCCCGTAATTGAACCCTAAGCTCGGGGGAATTGGTCGATCAACTCTAGGCTGAGCTTCTAGTGAAAAGCCAACCTTATGGTTGAAAAAATGCAAGAGCTTTCCAAAGAAATAGCTTAGTAGCCACATTAGCAGCGCTTGGGATGATTTTAGGCGCGGCCTATTCCCTTTGGCTATATAATCGTGCGGTTTCTGGGAATTTAAAACCCGATTTCCCCTTTCCTGCCAACCTCCTGGCTTTATTCTTATACTGATCGAGTCAAGTTAAGTTAGCCCAGGGGTAATCCAGCTACAAATGAAAGAGTAAAGCGCATTATCTTCATTCCACTTCCAATTAGATGACTCGGCCGAACGGAATCACCGATCTAGATAGAAGGGTCGTTCACTCCCTATTCTTTGAGAGGTTGCTTGCGACGGTAGCATTAGCTAGGCAGTCAGCTTCTTACTAGTAGGAGCTAATCACAGGAAGAGAGTCCAATCTCTGAAATAGAGCTTTTTCCATACCACAGCTCTAGACTTGTGCCCCGCATAAGACCCTCTTTCTCTTTCCCTCTCGGGAAAGAAGATAATAGAGGGAGACTTCCCAAACGAAGACTCCAGGTCACTGAAACGAACACAAGGCCATCATGTTAGCCAATACGAAGAGTGGTTGTTCTGTTAATAGAGTATATCACAGCTGGCCTCTTTCTGTCCTGACTCGGAAATGAAACCGATGGTCAATCTTTCCCTGGCTTGAGAGGTTTCATTTCAGGTTAAGCAGGGGATCAAGACTCTAATGCTTCGAAAGGCCCAACGGATCACCATAGTATAGAACCCTTGCGACCTGCTCCCCTCTGACTTAGGATTCACTACCCGCTTGAAAGCCCTACTTCTGTCTTGCTTAAGACTAGAACCCGGAAGAGATGGCACTCGTCAGAGCCAGCCCTATCTTAGGCTGGTTCGGGCGATCCGCAATGCGGAGATTCTCTATGGGACGAGAAATAGGAGACCCCCTTTTTGGCCTTTCTGAAGTGTGGCCCACACACGGCCAGGAGGAAAAGAAAAGGGGGGGCCTTAGCCCTTAGAATCGAATTCTAAACCGGCGTGGTGCTGCTGGATGCTTCTGATCAATCAATCTCCGCACCATGTTCGTTCTGTGACTCTCCATATTTTCCAAATTTCAAACCGCTACGCCCCAGCAAGAAAACGGATGCGCTAACGCCCTTATTAGAATAGGCTTGAGCGCTAGCGCGCCCCTATCTCGTCAGTCGTTGCTTATGACCCAAAAACCGAGTGAATAGCGAGTCAGTCATAAACAATTATTGATTGGATAGGTACGACCAATCCCTTCTAACTAGAAAAAGATGATTTGTCCAAATGCACCCTATAGATGTGTTAATATAAAAGATGATAAAAAGGAGAGGTAGCTTCAAATCACTTGGAGGGAAGTTCTCTTGGAAAACTAAAACTTTTAAAGTCAAAGGGTTTAGCTAGAATAAAACGGAATGAAAGTAAAAGGATCTATATTGGCGATACCAACTAGTTGGAATAAATTAGTTGTCTGTGTAAGAATAAGTGTAAGATTTAGAGAACCCCTAGATCTTTTTAATTGTAAATTATTTTGTTGGAATATAATTGACTTAAATACAGCAGAACGGATGGAGAGGATTTATATAGCTGCCTCTTAATAATTTAGGATCGAGGCATAGTTTTCTTGGTTACACAGATGATTGTAAACTTTCTTTGATAATGGCGATTGTTAGTGCCTGTATGAAGGTGAATTGGAGCAGTGAAGTTGATGTCACTGTTACTCTACACCTGCATGATATATATGTTTCTACAGTAATCCAGTGTCTTTACTACTCAAAACTGAAACTTCTCCTCAATTATACTGCGACTTCTGCCAGGGTCTTGGTATTAAGCATGATTGAATTCCAACTATCATGCAATCTGCCTGTGATATAATCTTTGTTACATCAAAATGTAATCTACGTAGTGATGGTAACATTATTTTACAGGTCTCTCTGCCTTTGTTAATCTTACACGGAAAGAATGATATGGTGACAGATCCATCGGTCAGCAAAGCACTGTATGAGAGGGCAAGTAGTTCGGACAAGAAACTGATCCTTTATGAGGATGCTTATCATGCCTTGCTTGAGGGTGAACCGGATGAAATGATACTTCGAGTTTTTGGTGACATTATTTCATGGCTGAATGAGCATACCATCTCCTAGCCATTTCTGCAATTTCCTTTTTTCTGTGTTTAGGGGTAAAGGGGGGAAGATCTGAAAGCAAGAAACTAATTAATTTATCTGGTAAGATTGAATGGTAGAACAAATGAGGAAGTTATTTCATTTTGTAACATTAAAAAGAACAGAACAAGGTTCATTTTATGTGTACATGAAAATAATAAGCAATGCAGTCATTCTGAATTTAACTTTACGGGCTAAAAAGAAAGTTCTTTCGATGACTGGAAGAGCATTATACTGGTGCAGAATTTTTCTCAGGGAAGTCATTTCATTGTGTAACCTTTGCCTAATGGTTTATTGAGTGAGTGCAAAACTTCGGAGATCAGTTTTAAATTTCTTCACACTAGCTGATTTCTTCCTATCTGCCTAACCATTGATTGGACAGTTACTGTATACCAGTGCTGGTGAAGGGTTGCGGGAACTTGGTGAAGTAGTTGAGGTGCGCGCGAAATCAGACGCCACCTTTGTCACATTAATAGATAAATAAATCATTATGGGAAGTGAAAACCACTACTTTAACCTATCATTTTCTTTTCCGTACTTTTAAAAGATCTAAGGAAAAAGGATAATTCGGAGAAAGAAGTAAAAAAGATAAATCTCTCAGAAATTGGACGAATGAAACAAAAATCCAGTGTTATGTAATCCACGATGCTTCCTTATAATGGTCCACATTTGCGGTACAACTGTTACGCGGCGCCTTCTTGAGATTCCTTGGAAGGGCGACATAAGGCTAAGCAACTGATGTCAGTGCAGTTACCATCCGCCAACTGAGGTCCCCTCCGTACGCTAGACGAGATTGTCTGTGCCGTACGAGAAAACCAATGTCAGGAGCAATTGAGAGAACAAAAATGAGAATGGAGAATGAAAGAAAGATTGATTGCATTAATGAAAGCTATTACAAAAAAGCAACACGGTGTCGAGGGGGAGAGACACCAGTACAGAGAATTGTTTGATTGCTCGATCCCCCCTAATAGTGCTTAAAAAAGATAAACCAAAGCTACAAGACTAGACCTAACTAAGCTAGAGAAACATAATGGAATATATGAAATAAAACTACTCTATATTTACAATGAAAAGGACTTAGTTTTCACAAGGTAGAAACAAGTCTGTTGTCAGCAACCTTGTCTTTGGCATCACGGTCTACGCGCGCGACGCTGTTGGCATCCGCCTGCAGCTGAGCGTTGGCGAGGGATATTGGTAGGGCAACAGATGCACATGCGCACTTTTCACTTGGCGCAGCCAAGACCACAGGGTTGTCCGTGGCGCTAGGCGTTGGGAGGCTTGCTAGGACGCCACGGGGCACGTCCAAGGGGTCATGGGGCATGGCTGGAAAGCCGCCCATGACATTCTCCCCTACCTAAGTTGGCGACGTCCTCGGCGCCTTACTTGCAAGATAATCATCAATTAGGCTCTTGTAGGCTTTGAGGTTTGTTCCCCTCTCCCAAGTATTCTCCTCTGCATCACAACCCTACCATTTCACCAAGAACTGTTGGTGATCTTTCCTTGAGGCGTGAATCACTCGATCATCAAGAATAGCTTCAGCACGCCTTTTCCCCATTGAATTGGGGCCTCGAATACTTGGTATTGTGAGTTGGCTCCGTGAAGGATCCTCCATGTCTTCCCGAAAAGGTTTAAGAAGACTGACATGGAAGACAGGATGGATTTTCCACCAAGCTGGGGTATCCACCCGGTATGCAACTTTCCCAATGCGCCTTTCAATGGACAAGGGTCCAATGTATTTTTGTAATAGGCAAGGGTCATGGACCCCTGCAAACAAGTATCGGTTTGAAATTTTGACCATCACTTTGTCTCCTGCTTGGTATTCAACAAAGCGACGATTTTGATCAGCATGCCTCTTCATCCGCTTTTGGGCACAAAATAGCTCCGCACTATCTCCAAATTTCGCTTCCATTATTTTGAGAAACTAGCAGCTCGAGGAGATTTTGACCATGTTTGGTGCATTCACGGTGTGTGGGAGTAGCGGTTGCTGTCCAGTAACAATTTCAAAAGCGCTTTTGTTTGTACTAGAGCTCTTTTGTGAATTGAAACACAGTTGAGCAGCATCCAGAAGCTTCACCCAGTTCTTCTGCGATCCGGTTACAAAGTGGCGGAGATATTCCTCCAGCATGCCATTGAACCGCTCCGTCTGGCCATCAAATTGCGGATGAAAAATTGAGATGTGACTCAGTTTTGACCTGAGGCACTTAAAGAGTTGGGTCCAAAAGTTGTTAGTGAAGCGTGAGTCGCGATCGCTAACAATGTCTTTAGATAGGCCCCAATATTTGACGACATGAGAGAAGAAGAGTCGAGGTGTATCCTTTGTTGAGATGTATTGTGGGGCTGCTATAAAGGTAGCATACTTGGAAAACCGATCCACCACAACCAAGATAGTTGTGGGATCTCCGACCTTGGGCAATCCG